AAAAGTGAGTCTTTTTATGAGCAAAGCACAAAAAGACACTTCTCAGCCGCAAGGCATACAATATTTTATCTTCTTTATGTAAACATAAAACGTACAATTATAATATTAATTATAATTATTAAAAGTAGAAAGTAAGGTTAGGTAGATCCAAGTGGTCGAATTTTTTGATTGGTCCAAACGTTTTTTTTACTAAGAGGTAAAAAACTTTTGCCGATTGGTCTAAATTATTTTTACAGCCCAGGCGATAATTAATCACGTTATGTTTTGGTTCGCTGATTTTGGGAAACCCTGTATAAATTAAACATTAAATCTAAACAGACCAATTAAAAAATAACAGCCTAAAACATTTTTGTATCGTTTTTATTTTTTGATACACTAGGTTATTTCTCCGTTATAAATATACACTTAACCTATAATGGCATTATAATAATGCTTATTTTATGAAACAATCTTTTTTTCCATCTATTTTAGATGTGGCCCGTTTAAAAATCGGAATTTTATTAAAGACCCTAATATGTAGGTACATTTGGTTAATAATTTAATTACGAAGTACATGATTTGTATAAAGCTCTTACATCAAATAAATATGATTACGAGTATAAACTGGTTCGCTATTGGTAAAAGACAACCCCCATTATAGTGGACCTATTGCAGACTCATTTCCACCAAGGGAGCAATCGAGGGTAAATGATTACATGCTCAATTTACTGAATTAAGTTGGGAGTAGGTATGTACGAGGAGCATGCGTTTTTAAAACAAATGTTATTTTTATTCAAAGCAAATTTTAGTAATGAGATTTCATTTTTAAGTACCTATTTCAAAGTTTTAAATAAGAATATCAAAGTATCTAAAAATTATTAGATATCTAGGTAGTAGTTACCTAATAAAGACAGTAGGAGTAGATATTTATTTTTTAATTATTAAATTGAACTAGTGCGGTAAGTTTATTTATAGATACACAATTTCGCAAAAATAAAATATTAATGGGGTGAAATTTTATTTATATGAATTAATCCCTATACTTGTTTATCAATACCTTTTTAGTAGTATAATGTAAACATTGGTAATCAAATCTGTGTGTGCGTGTTTGAACGTATTACCCTAACATGCTTATTTATCTAAATTAATAATTTTTTAACATTGACAACACTTAGGCCAGCGCAAAAAAGTGTTAAATGCATTTAGGCTGCCGGTCACGGGATGAAATGCTCCCGTTTTTGGTATGCGGCACGCGAGACCCCCATTAATATCCTCCGCCGACCATTGTGAACCATTTCAATCAAATCACAGAATAACTAATTATTTAGACTCTAATGATGGATCTGTGTTTTTACAGACACTAATTCTCTGTCCGCCTTTTTCCAAGCTTATCGCTAATAATAGGTGAAGGAAAACACTTTTTTATGCTTTAATAATAACATTGGAATATTTTTTTTACAAAAATGACGAATGCTCGTTTCCAATTAGGTTAATTTTTTAGTCTTAGGTAATGCACAAATCTAAAAATAATACCCAAATACCAAAGTCTTACTTTGCATTTGGAAATAAAAATAAATATTAAAAAAATCATAAGTGTAATTATTTAACCCTACAATCGCCTAATTTTTGATGAACCGTGTTTTTTTAAATTTTACCCGAGTCAAAATTAAGATCGTAATTTAAACCTTAAGTCTGACAATATCCATCTTAAACGGTTTTATATTCGCCTAAAGATAACCAACTTATGACCTAAAACATGGCAGATAAGTCCATTTTCCCGATTTTTCGGATCTAATTACGTTTAAATTTAAACCAAAAATTTTATTAGAGGTTTAAATCGGTTTAAATCGGTTTAAATCGGTTCAAATTAAGATTAATTCGGTTGTTCTAGTGCTAAATTGGAGTAAACAGACTGAACCGGTTTTAAATCAGTTTTGGTAGGTCAAAGTAGGTTTAAATTACGATTTAAATTTTGACTCGGGTAACGATAACCCGAGTCAAAATTAAGATCGTAATTTAAACCTTAAGTCTGACAATTTCCGTCTTAAACGGTTTTATATTCGCCTAAAGATAACCAACTTATGACCTAAAACATGGCAGATAAGTCCATTTTCCCGATTTTTCGGTTCTAATTACGTTTAAATTTAAACCAAAATTTTTATTAGAGGTTTAAATCGGTTCAAATGAAGATTAATTCGGTTGTTCTAGTGCTAAATTGGAGTAAACACACTGAACAGGTTTTAAATCAGTTTTGGTAGGTCAAAGTAGATTTAAATTTTGACTCGCGAAATTTGCTTTATCTTAAGAACTATGTAAAAGTCAAATAAAATTTAATTATATGGGTGGATTTTTTTAAAATTTTGTGGTTTTTCTTTATATTTAAAAAATAACTATAATAATAAGATTTTAGCTCCTAATATTAAGTACCCTACTTTCGTAGTTATGATCAAAAATACGATTTTTCTGGCCTTGCAGCAATTTTTAATTTCCATTTGATATTTATTTTTAAAGCTGAGAATTTTTTACACAAAATATTTAAATTTTACGATTTTTTGAAATACAATTAAATGATAAAGTAAGTATTTTTTTTTAATAATTGAGTTTTGTTAGTTAAAACCAGTTTCGTCTTATGTATTGTGTGGCGGCTCCCGAGTCAAAATTTAAATCGTAATTTAAACCTACTTTGACCTACCAAAACTGATTTAAAACCTGTTCAGTCTGTTTACTCCAATTTAGCACTAGAACAACCGAATTAATCTTCATTTGAACCGATTTAAACCGATTTAAACCTCTAATAAAATTTTTGGTTTAAATTTAATCGTAATTAGAACCAAAAAATCGGGAAAATGGACTTATCTGCCATGTTTTAGGTCATAAGTTGGTTATCTTTAGGCGAATATAAAACCGTTTAAGACGGAAATTGTCAGATTTAAGGTTTAAATTACGATCTTAATTTTGACTCGGGCTGGTTCTAAAGGGCACAAGGGCACCCAGATAAAAAGTAATAAAAGTTATTTGTTCCATTGTGCATTATTTTAGTTATACGTTACACCATTGTAATTACTATTTAAGGATGGTCTCAAACCTTCCTTCCGTCCGCTCAAACGGTTGAATTTAATTAAACCTTCTTTCTGCAACGCTTTAGCGCGCGCCGACGGGGCATAATTTAAAATGTACCTATTCCGAGTATGAGTCGGTGATCTTCGGTTCTCCTCTCAGTACGCGAATATATCGTCAATTTGGGGCAGCGAAGTTCGGTGACCGAACGCAGTGTCTCTTCAACCGCTCAGCTGGTATCTGTGTCCGTTTGTTTGATTTCTAACTTTTTTGTCGCCACGCACCGTTTAGTTTTAAGTGAATTACGTATTTTGTTTTTTAAATAAGCTTTATTTTTTATTAACAATAATGGCACCAGCGAAAGTAAGTTGTGTGCAAAATCTTTTAAAAAGAAAAAAGGAAGACATATTCCCGATCTTCGAATACACTACACTTCCGCAGGTAAAGGCTGAACTTACAATAGAGTATTCAACAGAAATATCTATGAAAAATTCGAGTGGATATGTGGATGTTCAGTAACCAATAAGCTTTTTTGTTTTATGTGCTTAATTTTCAAAAAAAATAAATTACGTGCGTGGAATAAACATTGGTTAGATGATTTAAAACACAAAAATTTAGTTTCTCGCATGAAAAATAGGAGAGTGGACTTTATGTACAAAAATTAGTAGGCAAGTTTTTTGTGCCCACCCTCTTTCAGAACCTACGAGCCGCCACTGGTACAAACTTAGTTTATGTAAAAAACATATGTGTATACATATTATGTATGTTTTTGTAATATAAACTAATAAGTTAGTACAAAGTTAGTATTTAAAATATATTATTTTCAGAAAATAAGACAAAATTTGCGTTAAATTCACAATTATTTAAAAAACAGTTATTATGATTTTATTATTTAATGGGATTTTAACAATAAATAAACCTATCGTAAAAATTACAAATTTTATGTAAAATATTCTCAGCTTTCAGAAAAAAAAATATTAATTTTGAAAAAAAAATTGAGGGTCTTCCGTAACTTATAATAAAGATTGAATATTTTTTCGGTATTTTGGACCTCATCAGTACCGGACAGCCATGTGGTGAGATAAAAGGCCAGTAATAAATATATTGATTAGTATAACGTTGAATGGATTTTTATATTATTACAATATTATTAATATAAAAAAAAATTACGAATGTTATTGAAAACTACTTTAAAAAGTTATAACTTAACAAAAAATTATCTGATAAAAAACTGGCTGTAAAACAAAATACGTTTTAATTAAAATGGCCATTTGCAATCTCGAAATTTTTTTTTGCATCGTCAGGTGTAAATATCTCCAATTAAAATTTAAAAATATATTAAACGAACTTCTAAAACAGACTTTAATATTAATTATTCATACAATACTTATTAATATTTTTTGACATTTAATACAAATGTTCATTCGATTGTAAATGGTTTAAAATTAAACAGCAGTTTGCAGCATGTGGTAAGGTAAATATAATTAATTACTTTAATTGATTTATTAAATTAATTGTTTTAAATACATTTTAATACCTTTACATCAAATAAAATTAATTTGTACAAATACAATAGATTATAAAGTATTTTTTAAGTTAATTAATCTGAACACTATAAATTAAATTTAATTTATAATATAATTTCATGCTAAGTAATTTGCTGTTTTTGTGTAAAACAAAATATTTATTAATTATTCATTATAAAGTAGTTTTTATGTTAATTAATCCAAACAATATAAATTAAATTTAATGTATAATATAATAGGTAGGTAATTTGCTGTTTTTTGTGTAAAACAAAATATTTAACGCATAAATATATCAAATAATAAAAAAGGTTGTCGGAAAATATGTGCATTAATTAAAAACACACCCTCCTTAATTATGTTAATGGTGTACGCGTATTGTGTCATTTTTTAAGCATATTGCGGTTAAGTATACTTATATATACATATATATATATATACCTTGAAAGTAGCTCTTGGTGCGTAAATAGCTCACTGACAGCCTAAGTATCGAAAGCCTATCCAGTTTGGAGAGGATATTTTGCTCAAACGGCAGAAGGCTTGCCAGAGTATCCAGTTCTGCATTTAGCCTTTCTCTGTGTCTTTTGCTCGGGTTGCTTTTCGTCACACCGTCTTTGGGGGTTGGCTTTAAACTGAAAAAGAAAATTAATTTAATATGATTGCGAATATCCAATATCATTAGGCTCTTGGATTGAATATCCAACCTCGTAAAATTGTAATAAATACACACAGCAATAATTGTTATAATTAATGTTTATTGTATTATTACTTGGCGCTCTTCGGTGTTATTAATGTGCTTAACAGGCGAGTAGTTACATTTAGATTTAGATAAAATATGCTAATTGAAGACTTACTATTTGAAACGCCACTATTATAAAAACTGTGATCATAAACACAGTCTTTATTGAGATATATGCATAAGATAAAATAATAAAATTATGTCGGATTAAATGTCTTTATATAGAGACCAGTGGCAGTCCAAAAGTCTTTAGGCCTATTCTTTAACTATCACCTTAAGCCATAATAAATATTAGACAATTCAACAAATTTAAAAAAAATTTGAATAGGATTATGGGCTTTTTTTTGTTTTTACATAAATCCCCGTTTTAATTTTTGTTTAAAATATTTTTATTAAAAATAAAGATAACAAAGATAATCAGGTTTGTGTAAAAACAAAAGAAGGTCGATTAGATGGACATTGTATACATATGTCATCGAGACTAAGACTTTTTTAAATAAATATTTCTTGTTTGAGTTTTTTTTAAATTATTAACCTTCTTTTGATTTAACATAAACCGTTTTATCTTCGTTATATATGTTCATATTTTAAAAATTAAAAAAGGTTTTTGGAATTGTTAGTTTAATATCTGTATTAAACCTTTTTAACAAAATTATTAACCAACAAAGATAAAGAGGTTTATATAAAGACAAAAGTTTATAATATAAAAACAAAAGCCCAAATAAAACTTTCTTATTTAAAAAAAGTGTTAGACTCGATAAGATTTACAATCTATATTACTTTGTCCATTTTAAGTAAAACACCCTGTAAATGTAATTAAATTAATTTGGAAATGTAGGTCATACAAATTTTCGATTTTTCCAACACAATTCAAACATCCAAAAATGTGTAATTAATCTTCTTGGGAACAAAACAAAAATTCTATATGCCCATTAATTAAAATTATAATGTATCTATTCGATAGCAATATTAAAAATCTGTACCAAGACTAAATTTAGAATTCTGAAAATTTTCATAGTTTTAATATTTTCCCAAATAAAAAAAATCGTTTATTTGTGAGTGTCAAGCTAATAAAATTGGGCTTTGGTCATTTTTCATTTTTTTAAATTATATTTGAAATTTGATTTAATATTTTTAAAAAAAGTCAGGCTAGGGATCTTTATTCCTAATATTTCAAAATTTATTTTTAAGATTTTAAGTATCGAAAATGATTTTTCTCTGCTAATTAATTAACGTCATCTATAACGAATTGGAATTTCAACATATCAATCCTATTTTTTTATATATTTTTTAAAAGTGTTTAAATGTTTGCTAAATATTCCGCATAAAAATTAACAATTTTCATAGTTCTCACACATTAAAAAACACATGACTTTTAAAATAATTTATTATTATTTCTTTTTGAAGTACCTATGTAAAAAAGTCTTTGCCTTTATAAAGTTTTAGTATACCCATACTTGGTTTGGTTTATAAAATAGTATTAAGTAGGTATACCCAATGCTATTTTATCCGAAAAAATAAATAAATAATATGTTGTTGAGGTTATCAGATTTTTTTACATTAATGTAATTACAGATTTCAAGAAATCAATTTTTAAAGTCACATTTTCCATAAAAAATAAAATATAATAATTAATTTTTAAGCTATCAACAAAGATCAATAGATTCTTTCAAAAATTCGTTTATAATCTCGAGCTATAAAAGGGGAAGTATGTTAATGGATTAAAAATTGACTATGACAGTATATTTTTTTATAAAAATCTCATTTTTTATACAAACTATGTCACGAAAACTTTTCTTTCTCACGCACAGATTTTTCACAAATCGCTTCTTAACTTCTTAAGGTTAAGGGAGAAATCTAAAAAAAATATACTGAATGAGTATTAATATTTAGTTGTGATGTTTTTGTAAAGACAATCAGCTTTTTTGGTTTTACCGTTGATTGAAGATATGAAGATAACGGTTTTACCAAGTTTAGCTGCCGATATCTTAAGAGGTCTTTTTTATAAAAATTTTGTGCATCCACTTGGATAGTCATTTTATACTAGTAATCGAAAGAATTTTATAATAATTGTTTTGAATAAAAGGCCATTTTTTTGCACAATCGTAATCTTCGTTACAAGTGTAATTCCCAATTTTAAATTAAATTCGCTATTTTTAAGTGCTCTTGTAAATAAAATAATGTATTCCCAATCACTTATAAATGGTTAATGATATTATTTTGTATTTTTACAATTTTTAACAAAAAGGTTTATTTCACTTATCATTCCCGTGGGAATGTTACAAACCCGCAATTAATTTTTATTTAGGATTTAAAAACCCAAAATTTGTAATAAACAGCTGTTTTAACATAATCAAAAAACTGCCTTTCTAATAAAATAAAAATAATAGTGGTTAAAGCTTATCATAATAATAATAATTTATAAACATTTTTTATAAAAATATTTATTTACATATATACACATAGGTACATTTTTAAAAACAAAATTTATCATTAATTAACAATCCAGCAATCTCGAATTTGTATAAGTCTGTTTGGGTTATTTTATTTAATAAAACTTTAATTATAGGATATCCCAAAACAACATTTTGATTGACAACTATTCTGTTTAGGTCACGTTTAAAATTTAAAGGTCGCACAGTTTAATTAAAAACCGATTAAGGCATGAATAAAAAACAAAAGCTTTTAATTTGCTTATGAATTAATTTATGTTGAAATAATGTTTCTTATTATCCAAATTGTTTCTTGTTAAAAAAGTTAGACATTATATTGGTTCAAATAAAGGTTATTTAATTATATCAAGTTACGTTTTTAACATAGGTACATACTTTTACCTATGCAAATAGGTAATAGGTTATTTGAAATTGTATTTATGCTAGGCTTAAAGAACGAAAACGCTTACTGAGCAAAATAAACATCCACTATTAAGTTCAATTTTCTTTAAATTTTAACCCAAGCAATAATTGCTATAGAAAACAAAACTTATTTCTGTTAATGTATTTAAATAAGTAAAGTACCTAACAAAAATGTTACTTCTTAAAAGTATGGTTGTTAATTTTAATATACTTCATTTTTTTCTTTTGATCTAATATCACATTATTTAAAGTATATATTAAAATTTGGTTAGTTATTAAAAAATTCTAAAAATCTACTGGAATAATAGTTTCAGTATAAAGTTTTAGATCATTAGGCAGTGCAGTATATCTTTATGGGAACGAATTATAAATAAATTTAGGCTCTCTATAGTTGAGGCTTTTTAAAAAGCGCTTTCCTAACTCTTCAGTAATGACAGTCTAGTGGTAAGGCCGTTGGCTGTTGCTGTAGCGTTCGTATAATCAGGGGCGGGGAACCTGGGGGTGCATTACATTGAAAAATGTTCGTTTTACCTAAAAAGCTAATCGGCAGGCGGCGAAGCCTTCACTTGAATTTAAATATTTCAAAGAGACGGTAATGGGTTTTTACCGTATAGGTACGGTAAAATAAAAAGAAACATAAGAGAAAATAGAAATTAAGTTTGTAATAATAAGTAGGTCTTCATATTTTTCAATAATTTCCTTTATCACTGTTTTAACGATCAGATTATTTCTATTCTGTTTTATTTGCTGTACAACTAATGAAGCCTTTCCTCAGGTTAATAATGTTAAATTATATGATTTTTTGTTTATTCTAAGACATTAGGCTTATTTGTTACTGTGATTGTTTTTGTCCTGGTGTTGTTAAACATATTAATTACATATTAACCTTAATATTATGTTAATCAAATTTTGATTACCCTTTACTTGTGTCATTTAAATTGCTCTTGTTGTTTTTTAATAAACCTAATAGTGAATCATTCTCACAAATTTTACAGTTTCTACTAAACATACACATGAAAATGTTCTTGGAATAACAAGGGGTTTTATTATCCTGATAATTATAATTAAAGGGCAGGACAAGCGGAGCAAAAAGCAACTTGAAATTTTATTGCAACTTTTCCCATTCATAAGTTAGAATTAACTCACCATGTAATTATCCAGCTTACAATACAGCAACAACAAAGATTTGGCAGGCATAGTTAGCAAATATTCCTATTATTGTTTTGGAAAACTTTGTAGCGTTCTAAAATAAAGGTTGTTTAAAAAAAAATTAGAACTTATTTTTAAAAATATTAACAGGAAATAAAAAAATATATACTTTATAAAAAATGGTCCATGACAGGAAATAAAAAATACTTATACCTACTTAATAAAAAATGGTCCATGACAATATGAATTAAATATGATTTTGGAGATATGCTCTTTTTTACAAAGTGTATCCTAAAGGTCCAATTTTGACCACTCTTTAATGCAGTTGGGGTCGAGGTTTGGGCTTTATTTTAGCAACAACTTGCGGTAATCCGGCCAACACAGTATATTGAATATAGGTACTATTCAAAATGATGGTTAATGTGCAGAATATTTCTCACCTTAGTTTCTGGCAGTAGTCATTGATGTGACACAAGTAACTATTGCTGTTGTCAAAGTAATCTGTAAGGTTTTATTAGAAATAGTATATTGACTGGATTACTGTTCTACGCATTAATGGTAACTGTTTTCTTTTCTTCGTGTAATTTGTGGTTTAATAGCATACACCAGATTTTGCATAAAACCAGTGGCGGATTTGCAATTTTTCAAGGTATAGGCTGAATAGTTTTTGCCGCCCTTGCCTCAACAATTGTCATATCATACATTATTTTTACAATGCAACAATTTCGTTGAAATTGCACGTAATAGTAATTTACGTTACAAGGCCGGGAAATTCCAGACTCGGCTCCTTCGTCGCCTCGTCCGTAAACATCTAGACTCGTACTTTAATGACATTTCACGGCCGTGTATCGTACAATGGTTTATTTCATACTATTCAATATTTTTTTCA